TCCGCCTTGGACCTGTGGGTGGTTAATGCACATCACTTCTTCTCAAACACGTACAAAGCACAGAATCTGATTATTCACCTTCTTCCAGCGTCCAATCCTCAGGTGCATTTTGCAGTATACAGAACATATGTCAGGATTCTGTGCAAATACATTATTCAGTTGGAGTGTTTGCTACTGTAGCCTGTGATTTCATTTCAGAAAGTCAAATAATTGAGGACGATCACTGTGGAGGGCTATATTATAAAAGCGCTCTATGCTTCACAGATGAAGCCCTGCCTGCTTCCTTATCCTGGATGTTTAAAATGTTCTTATAACATGTTAAAAATATAATGTTTCATAGAGGTATTATTTGCCAATACAATTACTGGTTGATTTACTGTATGATGCAGGAAGAGGCCATGGTGATTAAAGAGGTTGGCATTCAGTAATTACACTCTTTTAAATGTGATTAAAACAGCAGTCCTGACCCTCTTTCAAAAGGTATTCCTGGTTTATCACAACCCCAGCTCCAGCACAACTCATCGTGAAGGGGAGGCTGGAATGATCAGTTGACACCCCTGCTGAGCACTGCTTTAAACACCTATAGGAACCCCCTCCTTGCACTCCTCCTCCTAGCCGATTGTAGACGCAGGAGGATTTATCGGACAGACAGATCTTGGACTCTTTTGTCAGTGGGAAAAGTGTCGCCATATTTTTAAAACAGCAATGAAGATGTCTGCAGATTAAGCATACTAACATTCAGCTTTATTTGGAATGTCATCTTTATTAGTGTGGAACGAGAAAGTACTCAGCATTAAATTGAAAACTGACTTTACCCATATGACCAAACAAGAGGGGGTAATTCAGCCCAGCTAACTCATAGATCTAGTGGCAGAGGTATTGAGTCAAAAAACATGGCTGGGTAGTTTTTCCCAGACACCCACAGCCCTTAATATTAATATGAGCATAAATATATAGGTATTTTTCATTAAAATGGTATTATAAAAAATTGTAACAAATTGACTAGCCTTAATTGTAAGAAACATACCCTTTCTAAAAATAAAAAGAGTGATTACACACCTCTGTTTTTCAAAAGGGTCTCTGAAAATTTAGATCTGAAATTAGAAATTGCAAATAAAGAAAAAAAGCAGAGGCTAAAGAAGATATAAGTTCCGTAGTCGGTCAAAATTGTACTTTTGGTACATGAAAAGAAATAAATGGATAATTGGTCACTTGATCTGTATTTTAAGAGGGTTTCTGTCTAAATCTATCACAGTTGCTAATGCATATTTATTATATAACTTGTTTCTGATACGGTTGAATGCTGAAATGACATTAGTGCAGCATACTGTGCAAAAGGAGAAGATCATTTATAGCAAGAAATGCTGAGCATTTTTGTTTGTATGCCATTTAACATTTTCTTTCATGCAACGCACAGTCTCTGCTCAATTTCATTATTTTGCTTTCATGTAAAGGTTGGATTGTGTTTTTTCCAGATACTGTCAAGTTGTGTTGGGTTTGAGCACACCCTGGATTCAGTACACACTACAGTTTCTAGCCATTTTTTAAAAATTGTCCTAACATTGGTTTGGATTTTGCCTTCTTTTTTTTCCCTGGCTTTTTAAAAAGTTTTTCTCCATCCACTTGTCACAAACTAATGGCCAGTACTTGATAGAGACTTTTCAGTTTTTAGCTGGGGAAGAACATAAGAAAGTAAGGTTTCATTTGGCACAATTTGCTTATTAGGTTGCATATTGCTAATCACTAGTGGGTCAGACATTTGATTTAAAAACTAGAAAAGTACTCTTTAAGCTGAAAGGCACCATATGCTGGTTGACTGTCTGGCCTGCAGACTTTAAAGTGTCAGACTGTACATCCACACGTTTCTGGCCTCCAGCAGGCACATAAAGCACCACACAATAGATTCTGTAAGTGTAAGGATGAACAGAAACTGTGCAAGAGAAATTCATCCAGCAGTTTGGCAGAACCCTAATGAAACACTCTTATACTGTAGGTCATATTTATTTTTTGTTGTGTAACAATTTAAAACATGTAAGGAAATGATACTTTGAAGCCTTTCTTTGTCCTACAGCGATGAGCGATCAGTAAACTTAGAAACGATTTTTTCCTGATCACTCAGGAAGCATCTGTTGTCTGGTTTTTGAAAGTTTAACACGCTCAGTGGTTCACAGTGTAGGGGGGTTTCAGGAAAAAAACTCCAGAAGCATCCAAGGGTGGAGCAGTGGCACTGTGGCTAAGGATCTGTGCTCTGTGGCTAGAGGTTGCTGGTTCAAATCCCACAGCCAGCAGAGGAATCCTACCCCACTGGGTCCCTGAGCAAGGCCCTTAACCCAGCTGCTTCAGGGATGCCACATAAATGGCTGACCCTGTGCTCTGACCCCAAGCTTCTCTCTCCCCATCTGTGTGTCTCATTGAGAACGTGAAAAGACAAATTCCTAATGCAAGAAATTGTATATAGCTAATAAAGTGATCTTATCTTATTAAAAACATGTGATGAGGATAATTTTTGACTGTCATATACATTCCCTTTAGCACAGTTTAAAGGAACAGAACATCTTTAGTGTTGAAGACTCAAGATAAAATCTTGAAAAGTACTGATAAGGTTATTAGAATACAAGAGTCCTGGATCAACAGGGGCCTGGGACCACCAACCATGAAGCAGTTATTCACACAAAGACTTGCGGGGGATTGTGGATTACCCTATCCGGCAATGTTGGTCAATGAACAAAATGATAATATTTTTGTATCAACAAAGTACAAACATCCACAAAGACAAGATTTGTTTGAATGGCCTCCTCTCGTTGAAACCACACTCATGTGTCATTAAGTTGGATTAAAGGTACAATGTACTGTATCCCCACAAGGAAAGCCAACTTGTTTACTTGATTGCAGCTCCTATTGGTGTGGTAAGAACAGAAAGTTAGGCCTGCTTAGTCTAATCATGGCACACACAATGACTTCTGATTTAACACTGCTGCCATTTTGAGTTTGAAACACTGTTTATTGCCAATATATACAGTAATAAATAGATGGGCATCTTTCAAAACTAAGCATTTGCCAACACAACAACAATAGAAAAGAGTTTTTCTTTGAAAATCTGGGCATCGTGTTCGATGCAGTAAAATAATTGCACTGTTATCACAATTATATTTTGATTCCCTGTTTTTCTGGTGTGCAGAGCCTAGGGAAATAAACTGTCTTCTTTGTCTGTTGTATAGCTCTATCTACACTGGCTGCAGTGTCTCTGCAATTTCTTAAAAATAACTTAACGGTATAACTGTGTTTTAAAGACTTCTACACAGGATTCAGTCACATTGCAATAAACAAGTATTCAAATATTTGTCTGAAGACTATATGGGCAAACATGCTTTAGAGACAAGATGTTTTTTTACATTTTAAGATTTTAAGCTACAAAATACATTTCGCTATCAGAATGGTTTGTTCTGCTTCATTAAATCTGACAAATGTGAAATTGTGAAAAATAACATTTATTTTTTATCTGACATTCATGCCATGGTTTGGCTGAAAGCTAATTCCAGTTATGGAGTAACATTATCATATGCAGATATTTTTTTTGCTGTTACTACACCTTTGGAAAATGAAAAAAAAAGGAAAATGGACAAATCTAATTGAATTTACAGTCACCTGAAACTTTTCATTATACTGTATATTGATAGCTCTTATCTAAGAGCACCATATAGTTAATGGCCATGGTACTGACCAAAGTTCAGGCCTGTGTTTTCAGCATTCTTAACCATGAGGTTATAATCAAGTGTTTTGTAAAGTTCATCTCCTCTCATTCATTATTTATAGCGGCTGCTAAGTAAATTTGCAAGATTTCTCATATCCGTGACTATGTATATACCTCAAATTTACACCACCTCCAACTCAATAATTAATACTGTTCATAAAGCGTCTTTGACTTTCAAGTCGTTTTGATAAGCAAGTCTAAAATTTCGTTGAACTTGTGCTGGGAAGGTATTTGGGGCCTGAAGAGTTTTGAAAGATTTTTTTCAATCATGTGGACACGAGTGCTCAATATTCTACACCAGAAACCAGATCACTGCTGTGTTTCGACTCCTCTTTAGTGCTCTTGTACAGTATATAGTCAAATTCAGTAAGCATAGACAGTAAATGTAAAGATTGCACTTAAGGCTCTTCAGCGCTTTTAAAATAAAACTAATTAAAAATAATAGTGTATATGTAAAAGTTGAGTGTGGAAAATATCTACAAGACTATGCAATTGTTTCAACGCAAACACAACAACCTATGGTCATATGATCATTAATAGGTCAAAATGTTTTAATCGATTTTTAATTGCACATAACAGGCGCAATATTAAATATGATACGTGATACTGTCTAACCTCATCTGTGTGTGCACCTGGTTTTAATACCTGTTCCTCCACAACTCGTCTTATTTCTCTCAAATCCATCAGGTTTATTCTTACATAAGGAAAAGGAGTCGGGAGTTCATTTCCACGCGTCGCAGTTAGCGCCAATGCAGATTGGCTGTTTTGTTGTAGCGGAGGGTGTAAATTGCCCTCCTTTGTGCCTGTGTGAGTGTTAAAGAGAGAGAGAGAGAAAAAAAACGCAGGCGAATAAGCCGCGGCAGCTAGCAGTAACAGCACCGGATTGCTCCGCGTACTTCGCTCTACACTGAGTTGCACTGAGTTACTTCACTCCAGATGAGTTTCACTGAGTTTACATCCGGGTTTTTTCCCTAGGCAATGGGAGTCGTAGCACCCCCGTTCCTTAGGCAAAGTGAAATAAATTCGCCGCACCGTCACAGAAAGTAGTCCGCTGTTCCAAACACATTTTCTCCCCGCGGCGAGACGGGTACTAAAGGATACCGCTCCACTTCCCCGTGGTTTCCGACGTCGCCGATTCGAGTGGCGGCGGTCCCGACCCGTTTCGGTCGCTCCACGCCTGACTTTTGCGAACCCCCCTCCTCTCTCCCTCTTCCTGCGCGGATTGATAACCAGTGTGCTCAGGCCGGGGGTGAATGAGATTGAAGAAGAGTTCTTGTTTTGTATCTCAGTTTCTCTCTTTTTTTTTAAAGACAAATTTGAAAAAAAAATTAAAAAAACACACAAGGGGGAAAGCAAAAATATCAGTTTGTACTCCATGGAGGGTATTTTAATCTTTGCGTTGTGAATTAGTATCCGTGAGAGGATACAGGCTTATAGAGGCTGGGGTGTTTGTAAATATTTATTTAAATAATTGTGTGTGAGAGAGGAGAGGAGGGCTGACTGCTGCTCAAGTGAGTGAAAGAGGAGGGTAAGTGCACCTCTGGAGCCTTATTTTATTATTATTATAAGAACTTTTCATTTGTATACGCAGGAGAACTTTGGTTGCGTTCTGGAGTGATCTGGATGTTCTGCAAATGACGTGCTGGTGTCTGAGCGAGGCTGAGCGTTCCTAGGGCTGCTGTTTTTTGTTCAGTAATTCTTATTTCTAGGAGTTGAGTGATATTTTCTAAGTCCATTGCCCATTGGAAGGCAGTAAACGTACTGCGAAAAGGGGGCAGATTCTAACTTGCTGATAGCTTTCATGATCCCCCTCCGTGCACGGCGATCGCGCACGCTAAGAAAAAAAAAATATTATATATTTGGAGAGAGAGGTGGGGGGGAGGCAAATAAGACGCCAACAAAAGACTTTGCGGGGCTCTCAAAGTGTTTGTGTAACGGGAGTTTGTCTTTACACCACCGGGGTTATAAATAACAAGAATACTTGTAACTGTTTTTTTTTTTGTGTGTGTCATTGTTTTGCAATCGAAACATGTTTGGCCACTAATGGTTTTTATTTTAGTTTTCCTTTCTTTTTTTTTCCCACCTCCCTCTGGAGGAACGCAACTGTACAGAAAATGCGATATGGTGACCGAAGTTAATATATGCTTGTTCCCCGAGCAGTTGTATAGACGTGGATTCTTATTGGAGGACGAGTGTGTAGTGAGATGACAACTCTCTAATGATCTTAGTGCAACTTAATAATCTCTTTGCATCAAGTCGGGACTTTAATTATTCATCCTTTGATTCCCCCCCGTTGTTGTCGTAAAACGTATGTTTTTTTTTTGTGGAAAGGATTAGGGGCAGAAGAAGCACGTTTAAGACGACGCTCTCGTTTCGACTTTTACTGAACAGCCTGTGTGAGGCCTATAATTTTGATTTTTACGTATACAAAGGGGGTGACGGATTGAATTGAATTCCGTTTTGTGGACAATGTATTTCGCAGTAGCCGAAGGAGTTACAGTGCTTTCCATTTTTTGTTTCGCTATAATCTAAAATACCTTTCTATATTGTTTACTGTTTAATAAAATGGCCGGGAGGGGGGCGGTTTTCTAGTATTGTATCCCAGTATTAAGGTAAAAAGTTGTGTAGTATAGTTCAGAGCCTGCTTTTAATATGTATTTATAATTGTCCCAGCAGTAATTTTGTTTCCACTGTGATTCACTGTATAATGCTTCACACGTTGCTGGCGGTGAAGATGCCATTCAATTTAAGGTCCCTTATGAAGTTGCTAGAAAGAAACATGGGTTGGCTGAAGAGACCACTGACGGCTGTTCGTCTGGTGCGTGATTGGACATGTAGCATCAAAAATCAAAGGCGATCTGTGATAATTGTATCTTTCAAACGAGCGCCGTGTGGTAGAATGTCGTCGCAGCTCTCGCTGACGTTTCCTGGACTTTCAAGGTTTTGTTACCTCCAGCCTGCGTGGGACTGTAGGTCATGCGAGAGAACATGTAATGTAGTACTATCACGACACACAACAAAGTACGGGACACGGATAGTAAGAACGGAGTGACCCACTTTCTCAAGATCTGTCCCCCTCCCCTCCCCCCCCAAAAAAACATTTGCAAATATGGGCCGATTTAACGTTATTTCAGTACTTTAACATCCATTGCAATATTTTTATTACTGCTAGACTGTGCAGCAAAGCTTGTGTGGTCTGCAGATAGTATTTCTAGTGAGGTGGGGATTTTTTTAAAAACAAAATAAACTCTTTTTGCGCGGATTTAGTGACACGTTCAGGTGTATCCGTGAAGACTGGCCGTGTTGTTACTATTGTAGGAGCAGAGGTGTGTAGCGTTGCACGTGACAATGGGATCAGCTAAATTAAAAATATTTTGAAAGGGGTGTTTTAATTCTTGAGAGCAAAGCGCACGTATTAGACTGCGTGTATAACGCTACGAAACCATAAAGTTGTAGGTGTGAGCTAGATGGAAGTAAAAATCATTTTTACACTTAGATTTTATTTTTCTTCCAGAGATGACCTAATCTTCGTGACTAACTCCGGTTTCACGTGGAGTTATCCTATTATCCCTGCGATTTCTAGAGAAAAAAAGGCCTCGATTGCAAATTGTTAGTCAGCAGAGTTCAGGAGTTTTTCTGTTTGTGGGGCTTATGCAAAGACTTAACATTGCAGCAGTCTTCTAACTGTTTCCAATACGTAATGAAAATCTAAAAAAAAAAGAGGTTTCTTTTCACGTACAGGGTTCCTCAAAAGAGTTTAAAATAATTTTGCTTTGGAGGTTTCTTTGCCTGTCTCTCATAACATGCTTGTTTGGAAGTCCAGCACCTTGTAGACTAAGTGCTAATCACTAGTGGAGAGGCATTTTGACCCTTTGTACCACAGGCAGAATCCACTCTCGGCACTTAATCATGATAACTCTGAGTGGACTAATTCCTTTAAAAACTCCTAAACTTATTAGTTTAGTAGATAGATGCCCTGTGCATGTGGGAATTCTTAGACTTGTATTAATCCTTTCATTGATTACCTCTCCCATCAAAAAACCCTAAGATGAGTGTTAATTCAAAGCTGTTACAGTGATAGTGTGAGCTCTGAACCTGTTTGTGACAAATTGTGCTCCCATGAAATCATCATTGGTTTACAGTTAGAAGTTTGGTCAAAGTTGTGATGATGTCATCTGCACCTGGATGGCTAAACCACACCTTAAGGAAGTGCTTGACTTGAATTAATGTTGTAATTGCTTTAAAAAGTATTTTTCATGCTTTAGTTTATTGTGTGACAATTGCATTTATTTTAAAATTAAGAACATGAGAAAATGAGCCCTACAACATTATAGAAAAAGGAGGGAACTGCTCAAAACCAGAAACAAAAAAGGGAGAAAATAAATAAATGCAAAAATCCAGCACTGTTTTTTGTGGCAGCACTAATTCTTTCTATGAAAACAAAGTCTGTAAATGAATGCGTCCGGGTGCGAAACAGAGCTGTCTATACTTTGTATTATTACAAACTTAATGTAGAGGTGTCGCCTCATGCAGCACACGCTGAATTGCGTGTCTACAGCTTAGTTTTCCAGATATTTGGTTTGCAATCCCAGTCTGGGTAATCTATAATTTATCAGGCTCACAGTAGCTCTGATAACATGCAGGACTCAGCCTTGGAGAAACTGAAAGGGCTGTAGTGAAGGCCACACAGCGTAAGAGTTTGTCAAGATGACAGGAAAAGAAAAGATTGTCCTTTTGTGCGGGGTCTTGGAAGATGTTTCTTCTCAGGGTTACAAAACAACATAAGTACTGTGGTCATCAGTTTTAAATGTGTGGTTAAAAAAAAAACAACCCCAATGTTTGGTATTGTTAAAGGCCGCAGCAGGAAAATGTAGCTATCAAGTGTCACAGAGTTTGAAGTCTTATTTTAAGTAAAACACATAAACGTGGGTTAGAGTTTCATGTTTTAAATCAAGGCAGATAAGGGGAATTCCAAAATGATCTAATTGTGTGAGGACATGTGCAGATAAAAGATTCACAGGTATTACTGAATACCAAGCTAAATTGTTTCCAATAACTCCATATTTCTTTGCTACTCAAATGACATTATTTTCTGGGTGTACATTAAAACTGTTGTGCACTTGTTCGATTTGATACTGAGATATTTTACTGAGCTAACAGGGTGTTCAGTAGTTCATAATTAGGCCTGAAGTTTTTAAAACCAGATTGAATTAATCCTTAAAATGACAGAACCTGACATCCAATGGAAAGGATTACAGTTTACTCTCGTAACCTTCATTGACAAGAATGATGAGCCTTTTAAATTTTTTAATTATATGTGCTGTGAGTTTGTGCTTGATCTTTGTACGACCAGCGATTCACAAAGCTCACTGAACTTGAACTTGTTCTAGTTGTTTGCGGTTTCTGAAGTCTCATCCATCTTAAGAATTCTGAGAGGTCAGTCCCGAGATAAATTAAGGGTTATACTATATTACAGTATACCCGATGGGTTTGGCACTTGGCAAAGAATCTTCAAGTCTGCAGAGCCTGTCTGTGTGGAGCTTGCATGTTCTCATGTATTCCATGTATTCCTTTGGATTCATTTCATTTGGTGCTAAATTGTCCTGCCACTGGCTGCCTCCCAGAAATGTGCTGGCAAAGTTTTTCTGGCCTGCTCCCGCTCCAAAATGCAATTTTCTCCGTTCCCCTGTGGTGTATAGATGTCCCGTGTGGGGGAGACCTGGTGTACATGGTTACACCTCATGCCCTGGAGTACTGTCCAGCTTGCGGGAAACCACAAAAATGATAACGGGTATAGGGACTGTAATAGTCACTAGAGTGTATACTGTAGTGTTTGTATACAACCTGAAATTTGCAACAAGTTGTAGTGTCCTGCAGTGGTCCTGTATAGTGTAGTATGCAACCTCTAATGTAACTTATACAGTATTCTGTGCTACTGCGTACATTATAACATAGCATTCTGTACTAGAGTGTTCTGTTCCATAGAGCTTTACACTACGATCTCCTGTGTTGTGTACAGAACTATAGGACACAATAGTATATACACCAGAATAAAATCCTATTACAGTCCCCAGGGATACAAGCATGGGATATCTGCAACTGTAAATAAAGAAAATTGAGAGGAGAGGTTAGTTTCAGTGCTTTTGTTGCCCCTTATTTATTTAAAGCGCAACTTAGTGACCTTTCCTCTGTCCACTCTCCCAACTGAAAGTTCCCAATTTTGTGCCACACTGCTGTATATGGAAGGAAGAACTGCACTTGTTCAGCACTAGCATGCCATCAATCACATCTTTATGTGCCCCTTCCATCCACTATGGTTCAGGGGTCTCCAGCAAGTCCAGCAAGATTTGTAGGCCGCCATCAAATCATAAAATCGAAATACTCTTCTGCCTCCAGTGGCCAGAGTTCTCTCAATTGAAGAGATTACTTGTTTGGTTCATCAGTAGCTGACTGGGATGGCTGATTTTTAAAAACAGGTGACCTGTAAGATGAACTAGATTGGGGCTCATCAGGACTGGGGCTGGGGACCCCTGTTGTTGTAAATACTCGAGAGGTTACCTTAGCATGCAATAGCAATATAGACTATTTTCAAGTGAAGCATCAGGTAGATCTAGTTAGAAGTTGTACTCTGGTGGTGTCATGATTTTCTCTTTTGGGATTTTTCCTCATTTGTTTTTAGGGAGCTGTGATTAAGTGCTTTTAAAATCCATTTACTTGTTGTAAGTATGTAAATATATTTACATATTCCTTTTTTAATCTTTTTTAATCTTTCAGCGTTTCCTGTCTTTCGGGGAGCTGGAGAGAAGAAACCAGTGAACAGCCAGGTGGTGAGTAGTGCTATAGCTGTTATTATAATTGTGTTTTATCAGCCCAAAGTCTCTGCTTGGTTAGTGACAAGTCTGCTAAAATGATACCAGGATCTTTCTTATTTTAGGTAGTGCTTTAATCCAATAAAAGTTGACATTAAGAAACTTTTTGTAATTGTAACCTTATATGCTGCCCCCCATAAAAAAAAGACACAAACACCCTTTTCTTTGAAGGTTTCAGTTCTGTGCATGCATTCGTAAGCAGGCTTTGTGCACGAGGATGATGACAATAATTACAGTAATGTAAATGCAGTTAGATGAATATCATAATTGCAATAGTTTAAGATCCCTTTAGGGTCTGGCTGGCCCGGTACTTGTAAGACATTACAACTTATATAAAGGTGAGCATATCATCTTCCTTATTTGTTCAAGAAACACACTTTTCTGAAATGCTTAAAGGCTATTTCCTTGTGCAGCTATTAAACTTAACTTGCAATATCCCTGACTTGATTATCTGTACTGTAGCAGTACTCTGGGGCCTGAGTTGGATGGTGTTCAAAACTGGAGATTGTGTGAAGGCAAAGCACTGTAAATGCATCTGAAAATATTGATTGATGCATGTGCTGCACAGCTTTAAAGGGTTTAAAAACTGGAATAATCCTGTGATGATTACACAGCTCTAGTCACTATTTGTTAAATTTCACTTTTTCATATAAAAGCTGTAGTGGTATCTTCAACCAAGTTACTGGTGTCACTTTTTAATTTGTGTTTGTCTGTCTCTGGACAGCAGGAAAGTTTAGAGAGTTTCTGGATTACTTTTTATAAGTATTTTTAATTTTGTACCGACACTCATCATTCTGTCACTCGTCTTTCGTCTGGGTTCAGTTTTTCATCCTCGCCAGATCCAACGGGCCCACCAACTGGTGAAGAGTACAGCCATTTTGCAAAACAGCAAGTAAATCGCTCAGCCCTGCTCCAGAGAGCCACTGTAATTTTCCAGTGTAAAACTTGGTACAGAGGCTGTGTCACAAAGAAGTGCTGAGCTAGTATTAAACTGCAAAGCCAGGACTGGCCTGTGCCAGCTCTCTGTGTAATTTGGGAGAGACGGTAGAATAGGAATTTTGAAGAACTTCTTTTTTGGGGTCTGGTTTTGTGGGAAGAATTTTATTAGGCACCAAGAGCAAACAAGGTTTCCTTTTACCCCTGCTGTTTAAATTTTTTGTTGTTTTCAGTTGGGCTAAATAAATGTCTTTCTGACTACAGTCGTCTCTGTAATAAACTGTGCTGTAGTATGCGGAGATTGGCAGATCTCTTCACAGCCTAATGAAACCATATTCTTCCTGAGTGTTTTCAAGAATATGTACACCTGCTGCTGATGTCCACTGTGACTGCTCCCTTTCATTGCTGTAAATGCGCATGTGTTCCAGTGCAAACAGCTCTCACATTCTGTAGTGTGTCTTACTGATCACCCAGAACAGGCCGCTGTTATACGATTTCATTGTGAGCTGCTCCAAGCAGATCTTTTAAAAAAAAAGTTTCCTCCATCTGCATAAGCTGCCATTATTTCTGTTTCCATCCCTGCATTTGGTCGAAAGACCCGATTTTAAGCTATGTAATGGAATGACATTGCCTCTTCCATTCAGTATAATAGAACAGCACTCGCTTCTTGGTCATTTGTCAGGAACTTATTCCTGACAATTCCTAAAGGATCATTTCTGATGTTTGTGGGTGTTGAGATCTCTTTTGCCTTCTTGTCTTTAAAATTTGGGTCCCAGAAGTTCTCCAGTACCCTTTTTTCAGTAATACGTATAGCGCCTTTTTGTTTAAAATGTAGTTAACGTAAAATGTGCAGGAGAGTAGGCGAAACTTACTGGTCTTCAGATCTGCAAGGTGATCTAAAAACGAAACCAAATGGCGCTTATAGGGTAACAGAGCAAAGTCAAGAAAAGTTTGTTTTATCCGTTTTTATTGTGATTTCCTAACTTTTGCAGATCTTGTGGCACATTTTGTGTAATTTGTCTGGATTAGGGTTTTGGTTTCCTTGTCTGGCACTGTGCAACCTACAGTTGGAAAGGCTTAGGGAGCTGAAATATCAGGGGAGCTGTATTTGAGTTTCACCGGCCTGAGTACTCCACATGTCATATCGCCCTACGTCTATGTCCATCCCCCCCGCACACCTCCTTAGTGGTCAATTATTATAATGTTTTCAGAATCGGGACTTTTAAACACGCCGCACAATACGTGAGAATGCAACATCAAAGAGCTGCGCAGAGTACACACTGAAGGCCTTGAAACAAATCTGTAGATGTAAATGATCAAGGAATGGAGATCAAGTAGTCCTATAAGAAAGCCGTGATTTTCTTTTCTTCCCCCCCCATCAAAAAAGGCTGAAAGCTCCCCAGGACTGAACTTCCGAAAGAAGAGATTAAGGATGGAATTGCAGACATTACAGGAGGCATTGAAAGTGGAAATACAAGTCCATCAGGTAGTACTATTTTTTTTTCTGCCTTTGCACATTATGGATTAATATAACGTGTCTACATTATTAAAGCTTGCCATCCTTTGAGCAAAATTGACTTAGCCCTTCTTCATTTGATTTCATTTCCTTCTACTTTCGTTGCTTTTCTCCTCCTGGAATGAGTCCTCCAGTTGCCCGTGTAAGAGTGCCAGTGTATTTAGTTATTTTTGTTACAGCGTTTTGGCATGCTTGCTCGTCTCTGCTGCCTACAAAGAGCTAAACAGAGCAGCTTCAAGTCAACTTTGCTTCAGAGCAGATTCACCCTCCTCAGCAAATCTTACCGGCATCTTCAAGCACAGGGCTGGCTGGAAACCACTCGCATCAGCTCCTTGTTGACAGTACAGCTGAGTAATGCAATAGGCCCAGAACTCCAAGACAGTAATAGTAATTGTAATGTATTTCAAAGATAAAAGCCCTGGGAGCAAGAGTGTGCGTATGTATACATAAAGGCAAGATTGAAGAAATAATACTGAAATAAAATGCTGTGGCTTTTGAAATGATAAAGGCCTTTTTTTTTTTTTAAAGTCGCACAGGACTGGTAGAGCGGCCTTGAACCTCTGCCCTATCCTCGCTGCCCTTCCAAGACCAAAAACTAAACTGACGACGAAGTAGTAAAAAAAAAAAGTCAAATGTTGCTATTTGATCATGCAAGGCTTCGATCTGCTGTGACTGTTCTTTACAGCTCATCTAACCAGCCTTTAAGAATTATTTTGCACGTTAATTATTGAAGAAGGAAAGATTACGGCGGCCGTGGCAGAAAAGATTGCGAAATGTAGTAAAGATGAAAAATTGCTGCGGCTGGCACTGTGAGCGCGTGGGTCTTCATGCTAAATTTGAGAATTTTGTGTGTGCACAGTGCACGCTGTATTGAAGGGTCTTTATTTTAAACATGCTGGTGTTGTGAACAGGTTTTAAAAAAATGCAGAGTGCAGTGAAAATAATAATTTAGATTTTTGTTTTGACTAGACTGCCTAATACACCTAATCTCTGGATGTTTTGACATTATTATACATTTGTGCAAATTCAGAAAGTGACATTCAAACTATGTCTCCTTTGACGTGTAGGTTAAATATGGTGAGAGATACCCCTCTCCTGATAAAAGAACAGTAAAAGGCTGCAGTCTGGGCCTCTACCTGTAGGGGTCGCTGTAACTGTAAAGCAGGCTGATTCACCTTGGATGAGGCTGCAGGTTGAAATAATGTAGCTGTCTTTGCTGGATATACATTCCTAAGCATTTTCTAGAAACCTGTTGAATGTTTTTGAGTCTTTGCTTGAGAAGTTCCGTTGGTAATATTCTTACTAAACTGTCTTTTTCAGACGTTTACAGGACACAAGTATTTTATTTCCTCTTGTAACTAATTTGAATCTTTTTTTGTTGTTATAGAAACTAGTTGCCCAGATGAAACAGGATCCTCAGGTAAAGATGGCTTTGTTACATATGATATCAAACCATGTTCTTTACTACATACAAAGTATGTAAGAAACACTTTCTTATAGCTCTCATGAACAATGTTCACAATGTGCACTGATGTAGAAAAAGCGTTTCCTACATACTTTGTTTTAAGTATTAAAAACGACTCTTCCTTCATAATCTGCATAAAGTGATACTAGCGTTTTAATACAGTGTCCTATACAATGCCTTATTAGTCTCTTGATTTTTATTGGGGGGATTTGATGGGGATTTGTGTAGTTTGTTCTTGCAAGTTCGGGCAGTGTACCGTGTCTAGTGGGACATCCTAGTACTGTTTTCAATTGTATTTGTGAGCAGGATGGGCGCTTACATTATAGATCCCTTTGACTGTCAGAGGATAATTGGTTTATTGTTATTGAAACAATTTGGGGGAAAATCGCATGATTTCTCCAAAGTAAAGAAATATGCTTTAATGTTATGCTTATAACATAAAAGCATTATAAATATGCGTTTAATGTCTAACTTTCAGTATTTTTGCTGAATTTGCTAAACTGGCCACAACTGTCGTACTAAGAAAGAACCTCAATTAGAAATAGTCATTTGTGAGGCCACTGGGTTATTTTACAGATGTGGAGTTAACAGTGACGATGACAATATTTTAAAAAGGAAAAGGACAAATTCTGTAAAAAATTCAAGGGGGGGAATGGGAAAATGTCACTCACGCAGTTGCTGAGTTGTGGAAAACCAGACTTTCATCTCTGTTGCGATGCCTTAGGCTATCAGGTTTTCAGAATGAAGGCTAGGCTGGGACTGGACAGGACAGAGCGAAAGAATGTCCTGCCTGCCTTTGATGCTTAGTCTCGTATAAACTGTCACATCCCATGTGATTTTCTAGATGAAACGCACATTACGAGGGATCTGTATGAAATCTATGTGTCATGCCCTGGACACTTTCTGGACGCCGTGGGTCAGAGTGTTAGTACTGCAGGATGTGCCTACTACACGCAAACACTGTGCCTTGTTTCTGTCTCTCCCGGGAAAGTTAAGATGAGCTCGAAGGGTCAAAGAAAGTTGAGCTAGTAATGCATTTTTTTTATGTGGATATTGCTGTTGTGTCATTTTGGGGCTGTTTGGGAGGAGGGGAGGGGATAAGGGATGCAAACGTTTCTTCCAGCTAGCTCCTTTGTGGTGTTGAATAAAAAGTCCGTCAGTCCATTTTTGAACCAATTCACCAGTATAGGGTCTTGGGGGTGCCCCGGATAGGATGCACCCTGGACAGGGCAGACACACAGCTGCACAAACACACTCATGCCAAGGCCAGTTAACCTACTAGCATGTGTTTGGACTGTGGGAGGAGACCAGCGCGCCCGGAGAAAACCCACACAAACTGGGGGAGAACATACAAACTCCACCCAGACAGCACCCCAGGTCTGGAATTGAACCCGGGACCCCAGCGCTGCAAGGCAGCGACGCTGCCCATCACGCCACTGTGCTGCCCTTGATAAATGATAAAAAGAAAAGGACAAATGAGCAAAATGACGTGAGCGTGGATATTTCTGTTAGCCCACTGAGCGCTGCAGACTCGCTGATGTTGAGCTGGGGGCAGCAGGCGATTTGATTACTGTAAAATGCCTCGACTGAGAAGCCCACCTTCGCTCACTGAAGGAACGAGCTGTCAGGTTAACGAGCACGAACGCCCTTGCTGTGTGCCCCCGCCTCGGAAACATTACGGTGGGGATTCCGCTTAACAGCGTCTCTGTCTCGCGCCGACGCCGTCGCGTCTTTGGAAATGTTTCCTTAACGACACAACCCACCTGGCAGTCCAGAGATACCTCTCACCTTATTATTTTTAGAAAGTTAATGATTTTTTTTTTTTGGGCTCCAAATAAATGGGGTTTCCAGATCCCGCTTATACTTAACCTTCTCCCGTGATGTATGCAAGGTGTCAGAGCAAGTTAATGTAACATTTAATTCCGGATTCCGAGCGTCTGTTCCCGCGCAACACGTCTGGGAGAGGGTGAGATTGATGGAGTGCAGGTGTGCACTTCAGCGCAGGACTGGAGCGGGGGGAAAGCAGGCTGGCCGGCCTCCACTTCACTGCTGGTTTACACAGATTCAAATTCATATTCGTCTTGCAAACGGCGCGAAACAGCCAATCAGATAAGATTAAAAAGATATGGGACTGTGTCGAAGCCCGTAACATACTCCCCTCGGTGGCCTCCTTTACATAGATGATGATGTATAAATGCCATCTCCCTGCCAAATCCACTATTCAAACTTTGCTTTAAAATATCTTAATTTCATGTGAATCTACCTACAGAATAAGTAAAGGCAGGAGGAGAAAAAGGAGGAAAGCATATATATGATCAGGACAGAAAGGAATCTGAGCACCCTGATGAATTTTCAGTCTCTTTTGCATCTTGTAAAGGTTGCCATGCTTGCATAAAATGCAGTGAAACTGCTCTGAAAGGCATTTAAAACAATTAAGTGCTTTTATTGTGATTTAAAGTTAACAGCGGCCTCACGATGCATCCGTGTGAGGTTCCTGTCAAAACCGCATTCTTCCGCATATCCTACTATTATCCAAGTTCTCAGGTCCATCCCAGTTTCTATATGGCTGATCGTCTGTTATGAGCAACTGGGGGTCTGCCTGTGAAATGCTGGGCCTCCCCCTGCTGAAGACATTTTGATCAGTGAGCAGGAAAGGGGCCTGTGAATTTGCTGCTCTCGGGCAACATGCGACATTCGGGCGTCATATTTTATAGAAGTCAGACCTCCCAAACATTAATGTTGTATCAGAGAACTGAAAAAATTGTCACTGTCAAAAACAAAAGGATGTACCTGAAGTTCACATGGGTTCTGATTCAGGGGAATTTGACAGTTCATCAGCTAATTTTTTGCTTTGGAGAAAAACGCAGCCTGACGTCATGATTATACAGATACCAGGAAGGTCTCGTATTTATTTTAAAATCAGCTGCATCAGGGAGAGAGCTTTTTTTTTGTGTCACCCTCTGTAAGTGTAAAACAGACACTTGCAGGCTGATTAGATGCATCTTTTTTTTGGGGGGTGAAAAGTACATGAAGAATCATTGCACATTCCACTTGTGTGTAGTGGGCTCCAGATCTCCGAGTGCCTTCATAAGAGTCCTGTGTGGGTGACAACATCCAAATGGGAGGACAAGAGGATTAAGAAATAAACACTGTCGTTCAGGCTTACAGTGCAAATGTTACTTCACTCAGAAAATAGAACAGTGCGTGAAATTGCTGGAAGTTATTAAACAATTTCTATTTATAAACAGTAGAAAACTTGTTAGCCTCATTTATCCTAATGTGTTTTGCCATTTTTTCTTGAAGCCCCCCATTAGTACAGGCCACAGTGATAGAAATGATGGAGGCAGGCCTGTTTTGTAAATGATACACTGTAAGTTCTGTCAGAGCGGAGCAAATGGCATAAAAATGTTTGGTTCTACTTGGGGGTGAAAAAGGTCCTTTATTGTTCTGAACCCTTAGATAAAACATGTTTGGCGGCAGTCAAAAGCATTCGTTTTCAGCTTTTGATTTTTACCTTTTCTGCTTATCCTTGTGAGACGTAGATGGCTTTTAGTGCGCTCACTTCAATAAGTTGTGTCCTTTGCCTGCAGAATGCTGATCTGAAGAAGCAGCTACATGAACTTCAAGCCAAGATCACGGCTCTGAGTGAGAAGCAGGTAGGACGCTGGATCCAGCAAGTTTTTAAGAGCTCTACAGATGGTGTGCGCACACACACACACACGCTATTGCTTTTATTATTTTCACAGTTAAACATCACGTTTACTATAACTTGCTCAGTTTTTCTCTGTGGTTCTGGTTCTGAATTCTCCCAGCGCTTTTATCAGCAATCGGGATATGTGGTGTCCCTCTCAATCTTGTGAAACAAGAAACATTTTTTTAAAGGTCTGTTGCAGACAAAATATCGTTCCTTGGTGTGGGCTGCTTGTCTCTTCGAACTGTCTGTTGGAGGAGAGATTAAAAGGCATTAATCACGCTCACTCATTTAAAAGCCTGGTTCTGAGGTGGGTTCGTGATCACTCATTTCTGTTAACACGTTTTCCAGGTTGTGGTGAAATAATTGCAGAATGTCTTAAAAATAGCGGCGAACTTCGGTGCCAGAGGTGTCTGTAAAACCATAAGACATCGAGCAAGTGCAAAATCAGTGTGGTGTTTCTTAAAATGTATTTTCTGGCAGCAGTTGTGCTGTCTTCCTCTGCTTGTCAGGAGGGCACTCAGAAAAAAAAGACATGTTTTGTGCATTAGCCTCTTCTGCTATATGGATTTTTTTTAAAACTTTTCAAACACAAGCATCTCAGATCTGTTGCAGATTTTAGATTTCCAAACAGTTTAAGGCAGAAGCATTAAGCGTTGCCCCAAATTACTTCCCAGGTGTTTTGCATGAAAAGCGAAACAAAACCTCCCGATTTAAGTTATTGATTCACCAACTCTTTTGTTTCATTTTACTGCTTTTACTATGTTTACCGTAACATCCTTGGGTGAAATTAAATTGTTTCAGACAAAATCCGAACACTAGCCAGTGCTCTTTGTATATAGTGCAGCGTATGTGCAGTCATCTGCTGCTGGTTTTAGAGATGCGTCCTCATGCAATGATGATTTCTCTTTTCTTATTTTATGTTTAATTCTAACTTGTACTGTAATTGCGAATCGGGTGTGGATTTTTATTTGATTAATATGCGTATATACTTTATTTTTGATGTACAGATAATCAATTGGTTAGGTTTTTGAAATATTTTGTAGCAGAAAGATTGCAGGATGGTTGAGGAAGGCATTCCAGGGGCTTTTCCCAATAAGAAAAGCAGAGCAAAGCAGTCATTTTTAATACTAATGCTCCGTTAAGCTTGCCTCTTCTGTGCAAACCACTTTTTAAAAAACAAACAAACTTTTCTTTCTTAATGTCATGTGTTGCACGACCCTATTGTGTAGAGAAGCATTCTTCGGATGAGTGTTGGTTTTTCGTTCACGTATTTTCCGTTTGTGTCTTGTGTCGGACTGCCAATGTTGACCTGGATATTTTTTTTTTAAAAGAAATGTCAGTTTTTAAGAAGCCTGCCCATCACGTATTGATTGAGCCTTTTGTTCACTAGACTGGCGCAGGAGGTTAAAATGTCAGGTTTACAGCAGGCTTTGCCGCTTGCTTTCCAAAGAAAAAACGTCTTACGTGTTGGTCGTCCCAAGGCCTGAGACATCTTAATGGGAGGTTTTGTGCAGTTCATTTATTTTGTATCGATGTGTGCATATGTTTCTGCAAAGGCTCCGGTGAACGGGAAGTAGCAGGAAATACTGGTACGGATTGCCTTTGCCGCTTGGAATCGGCCGGGGCTATACAAGCTGCGCTTGCAGAACGTTAAAACGGGCATGTGGTGATAATGCTGTTCCCAACGAGAATCAAAAGCAGATGGTTTTGTCCTGAAATGCTTAGCCGGAATATTTCGGAATGTTTCCAGTTGACAAATGATGCTAAGCAAGTTTTTAACAGTGCTTACTTCCTGTAGTTACATAGGCCATCTGATTGGGTCTGTATGCATACATGCATCATGTACTGTAGATATAGAGGATACTAAAATCCCGTGCCCGTTTTTTATGTGGTGGTGCTTTCTTTTGATGAGACATTATGACATTCCTAGAGTTGAAATGCCTACACAAACCAGCATATTGATTTTCCCAACTGTAAAGAGCTTTAAGGGATTTTTTTGATTAGGAAGAAGTATTCCATGTCAATACCCAGTATTCTTTGACTTGAAGAGCATTGTCTTGATAGAATTAAATCCAGCTGCTGCCTTTAGCTTTGTGTTTTGCATTCATTCTCGTTTTACCCTTTTAGGTTTTGTTTATTCATAAAAGCAAATGCCAGCAATTTCTTGATCCTGTTTTTCTGTATGGATTTTTTTTTCTTGCATATTTGTATCAGTCTGCCAGGTCTCCTAAACTTGTTTAGTCACAGAGCAAGCTGCAACATAGGACAAATGTCACTGAACACATTACATAAGGGTTTTTATCCGCTATGAACAATTATTGTTGTGGAACTGATAATGCCGCCTAAACTTGCCTGCTAGGTGCCAGACCCTGAGCGCTTAGAAGGTCAAATGTCTGGGAATCAAGAATACGAAA